TCCGGAATTTTTGAAATCGAAACTTTGGAGGCTTCCACGCTTCGAATGACTGAGGAGGCCGAACAACAGTACCCTAACAGGGTTCCCTTCTTCAAGGATACAGAATGATAATTCGTGTTCATTACTCTTACCGGTACAGACTTCTTCGCTCGTAGCAGGGGTTTTCCAACAGCGACCCCTCGTCCTATTTCGCTGTCATGGTTCCTTGGCTCCAACAGAATAATACTCCCATTATTCGTTTTACCTTCCAGGCGACCATCCAAAAATATCTCACAGCGCTCAGGGATCGAAACATCTTCTGCTACTACCACGCGAAGCGTCTCCTCACATTTTCGATGTAGAACCACTTCTTCTTCATTTATTTTCAAAATTTCTTGTTTGAGGTTTAGTTCAAAACCTCTAGTGGTCACGATGTCCATTCCGAGAATAAGTTCATCTTCGATGTCTGCTACTAACACTCGATGATTAAAACAGGTGCTTCCGATAACAAAATTAAGATCTACCTCTCCATGGATGAGAGCGCAGCTTCCTGTAGCTGTACGTAGTCGCCATTGTGTTGTTTTAATCCTTTTTGATGTTTTAAGGATATCCGGCCTGATGATCGTTTTGGTCGCACCCGTATCCAACAGCATGGTCCGTAACTCTCCATCCACGAAACTAGCCACAAAAATGCTGTTGAACTTGTGTTGTAGCGATGCGACTTGAACAGTTTTCGTTGGAACCTGTTGGGTACTGCTCCATATGTGTCCCTTTGATTCGACACTTGGCGAAACCGAGTCCACGTCTTTTTCTTGACAGTGACTTCTTACGTGTCCTGCCTGGCCGCAATTCCAGCAACAAGTCGGTCCTTTCTTGCCCATGTACTCCTCCATGACTTTCCGTACAATGCTTTCCACGGATTTGTCGGAACATTGGTTGACCGCCCGTACTCTCACTAGAGACCGAGAACTGTTTCGCGGCCTCAAATTCTAGGGCACGTGCTAAAGCATCCACCAAGCGCGTTGGGTGGGCTAGAAGAAGCGCTTGCCTTGTCTCCCTGTCACGTAAGCCATCGGAGAATGTCTGTACTGCCAACCGCTCCATAACATTCTCGGGCGTAGCAGGATACGCAAGGCGAACCAGGCGGGCTACGTCGGCTTCAAACTCCTGCAGAGACTCATTTGACTTTTGAATGCGATTTTTTAGCTGTGAATGATAGACATGTTCCAAATGAGCTTGGCCGTACCTCATTTCTAAATGTCGTACCAATTGCTGATAATCTCCCTGTTCCGATGGTGACAGTGTCTGCAGGATATCAGTCGCATCTCCTCGCAGTCAACAGTCAAAGCGGTAGCCTTTTCAGCGATTGTCCATCCGTTCGCTCTCGCAGCGGCCTCAAACTGGCAAAAATAATTGGCCCAAGCGGTTTTTCCGTCAAACTGTGGAGGCTTAATAACTGACTTTGAGATATACTTATTTTCGACTAGTTTCGGTGCCTCCGATGTTTCTTGACATTTTGGTGAATTGGCCTTTTCTATTTCTTGTTTTAAAATTTCGATTTTTCTATTTACATCTTCCTCAATCTCTGTTATTTTATCTTGTGTATCTATTATCTTTTCTTCTAATTCCTGTATTTTATTATTAAAGCTGGCCTGTATATCTTTAGAATTTTCTGCGATCTTATCTTCTAAAATATTAATTAAATCCTGGGAATTTTTCATCATTTTATCACTGATTTTATCTTCTAAATTATTCAAATTGCCGTTTAAATTGTCTTGCAATTCTCGGGAATTTTCTGTAATTTTGTCATTCAAACTGTCTTCTAATTTTTGAGAGTTTTCCGTCATTTTATCTTCTAATTTTTGTAGGCACGAGTCAAGGTCACCTTCGAACTCAAAGCAAAATGTGTCCGGATCCTCGCCTTCCTCCCTCAAAACGTCTCTCAGTCTGGTTTGCAAAATACTTTTCTTTCCATCTGTCTCGCACTCTCTCTCTTCCAATATGGATTTCAGTTCGGACACTTTCAAGTCTTTCAACAATTTCTTCGGAGCCATTGTTAGTCTTTTTATTTTTCTTATCACACACGCCACACCTGACACCAATTGTTACGTTTTTCGTCGGTTCCGTGTGGATAGAAAGTCACAATTTATTTAAACACTATTTATTTAACACTAATGAACAAAAATAATAACGATAAAAGACTTATAGAACTGTTTACAAACGATTTATAACTAAGAATTTATTTTGAATTTTAGCGCGTCAACTGTATATTTATAACTGCCCCCTGTAGGCCACGGCCGCCGGCTTTTATACCGGCAGGTAAAGAACTCTAGAATTGTCCATAGATCGTTAGGTGCGTAGAGAAGGTTTTCGAATTTTCTCGTATGTACTCGTCCATTCCAGTGGGACTCGATTCTTCTCGAACGAATGAATCATTGCGGTGTCTATGCGATGTTAAGGTCATCCGAGGGCGGGCCATATTGTGAGGTTAGGTCGAGTCCACACCGGCCCGCAACAAAACAAAAAATTAAAAATAAACTCAAATCAGAGTTTAAAAACTATATAACAAATCAATTGGAGCAAATAATAAAATATTTAATACTAACACATATATAGGTGAAGCTAAATGATAAATAGAAGGTAAAGTTTTCTCTTGAATAAAATTACAATACGCCACTTCAAGCTCTTTATTTTTGTCTAAAAAGTCAGATATCAACTTTGTTTTATAAGATATTTCTGAATTTGAAGGACCTAAAGCAAAACATTGCCATAAAATATTCAAAGAAAAAACTAAAAAGTAAAAACAGTATCCACGACAATTTTCGGTAGTAATTACGCCGGCCGCGGCTATAGACACGGCGCGGCGGGTCCGTGAAACTGCGGACCGAATAGGTTCCCCTGAACTAGTCTTTTAATTATTTCTTTTCGGTCCGGGACTGATAACATACTGCTGACCCTCGTTCGCGCTGGCCGATCCGTCCGTGAACTAGTCTTTTATATAGTTCCTCTCGATCCTTTCGGTCCGAGACCGATAACATATATGGCTGTCACTCCCCACTACCGCCTACCATCGAGCTACGATCGCGCTGGCCGATCCGTCGCCGTCGCATGTTATAATATCTCGGTCGCAGTCTCGGTTCTCGGAATAGGTCCTGAAGAACTAGTCTTTTAAGAAACAGAGAATTAGTTTATTTCGTTTCGGGGTCGGAATAGTTCGTTGGAACTAGTTCGTTCACGAACTACAAATCTCTAGTTTACATCATACTCAATCGATATTCGAGCATGTTCGCATTTGAGAAAATCGTATACGCCCTCTGAGAACAAAGTGTTTGTGAAAAAGTTTACTTTCGTAAACAACGATCTTACTTAACAGCAAAATCGTGGTTTTGATATATTATGTATGTTTTTGTCTCGAGCGTATACGATTCCAGTTCGAAATTTTCTAGACTTTATAATACGATGTCCAGACCTCAAAAACATCGATCTATAGCTTTCTGATCCATAGTGATCCGATCTGACAGCCCTTTGAATACAAAGATTAAGGAAGGAGCATACCAAAAATTTTAGGTCCACCGCGATGGGACTGAAACATGGCCGACTTAAATTCCGGTTTATCAATGCCGTTCTAATTTTATTTAAAAAATGTAAAACTATGATGTAGGGTAGACGTGGGGTAGACTCAAATTTTACGTTGTGAATAAATGTTGGTAGTTATTAAAATTGTTATAAAAATATAAAATTCTAATAAAAATAGATAAGTTATAATAAATATTTATTAACACAAACATCCGCTACGCTACTGAAGCAGGTAAGTCAAATTGACGTATCTAAATCTTTGACACCTAATCTTTGACAAGTAGTAAAAAAAGCAAAAATGCAAGAAACAATATACAGGGTGTCCCAGAAATAAGTACAAATATTTTAAGGGGTGCTAGATCTCGACAAAAGAAACATATTTTCTCTTTGTCGTTTTTGAAATAAGTCCAAAATAACGGAGTTATTGTACTTTGAAAATTTCCAAAAAAAAATGATTTTTTGCTGAAATTTTGAGAACCACTGGATCTTTTCTGGATTTTCTTTCTTGTAAATTTAATATAATACCTATGTTGCCATATTATCAAAAAGCTATTTTTGTAACTAAAAACTAAAAAAAAATCCAATTTTTTTTTCAAATTTTCAATTTTTTTTTTTCGCGAAAAAAAACCTAATAGGCGTGTTTCTGGGGTTGAACTATACTACCAGATAAAATATTTGCACTTATTTCTGGGACACCCTGTATAATTAGATAATTTAAGCGAATTTCATAAATGATCCGTTTACTACATGTATGTACAGTACATCTGCTGGATCTGTGTCTATGAAAGGAATGCGGGCAAAAAACATTTAAATAAACAGCAATATATTTTATACGTCGATTTGACGAGTGCGTCACCGCAAATCGCTCCGCCCACTCACTTTATTGGCTACTTGCAACTTTGTCGAATTTTTATTGATGGGACGCGTCGTCTAATTTTTTACGAAAAACATCGAGAAAATATCGTTTCCCCTCTCACGGATACCCCGGAGCTACAGAACGGACAGACGTACTGTATATTATATAGTCACTTACTAGCGAAAAGCTGTTCCATTATTTCACTCGATTTTTAACCGAGATCTACCGCACGCTACACAACCAACTATTTTAGACTCTTTTTCGATAAATCGCAATAGTGTCATTGTTAATTTAAGTTCTGCCACAATTTCCATCTAGATTTACTACCTTTATACTACAAAGTAGTAGAATAAATAATAAATATACATAAAATAAGCTCCGTAAAGACTGACAAAATTTCAAATCAAATTCAAATGTGTCAAATGAATCGTCAAATAGAACTGTCAATGACCCCCACCCTAGAATCCTTTTTCCGCCCACCATGCATGGATAGCATTATGATCCTTCCTCAATCTTTTTACTCAAAGTGACAGCCTTAGCATCAACTATGACATCTCTTAAAAAATATCACAAGCATATAAACACTCACCTCACGCTTTGTTTTCCGTTACATCCGACCGCAGCAATGTCAAACTTGTAGTTCTTCCTCTTCTCGCAGTTGAGGCTGCGACGCGCTCTCAATTCCGCGCGGCCGTCCTCTCGCAATTCGATTTCGAAGGGGGCCTCGCCGTGGTGCTTGTTCACTATCCGGAAGCGACATACCTCGGCCCCGGTGGCCCTGATCGGCGGGGTGACTTCCACCACCGTTTCGTTCTCTTTTACGATGCCATGGTAACCGTTCTCCAGGTTATCAATGTCGAGGCGAGGAGCGTCATCTAAAAAGAAGTTAAACATGTAAAGTTTGCAGGCAAAGTAAAATATAATGTTATTCGTTGTTGAGCAGGAATAAATTAGAGATGAGTTGGTCCGGATGGATATGAATCAACGGACCTCTCTCCGGTACCGGTACCTACTGTTTCCAACTTTCAAAATAAAAAAATAAAAGACGAGAGGGTAAAAAAGAAACACAGTCGAAGCATTTTTTGAAACTTTGCCCAAATGTCTAGAATTTACCAAAAAGTTATGTAAACGTTATGGGATTGATGGTCTTTCTTACTTTTTAAAAATAGTTAAACTCAAAAATTGGTAAAATAAAGCAAACCATTTTCAACAAAACTTTTTTTTCAAAACATAAGCTAACGGTAAGTAAACATAAAATAGTTAAATATGTTTATCGCTTACACAAATATTTCTTGTATGTACATAAATATTTCTTCATTTTCTTTTCTGAAAAAAAAAGCATTGTGGCGATAGACGAATATTTTTTAGATTTTGATTTTGGCATGTAAAAAAGTTTTCAATACGTGAGAGAAAAGAGGACAGTGTGATCAAAAAGAGGACTGTCCTCTGGAACAGAGGACTGTTGGCAACCTTAACCTACTGATGAATGTAGAACCTAGATGGGTAGATGCGGCATTTTAAAAATGTTGAGTACGAAGCTACATCAAGTGTCATGGACCTACATCCAGGCTCCAGTTCTGCCGGATCTATATCATTCTAACCTTATATTTTAATTTAACTAAATTTTATTTGGCTTGAAGTAATCCGCGCTCAAAAGTTTTGTAGTCCGTTAGGGAAATCTGATATATTTGCGTTTTGCCAAAACCTTATCATCTGATTATAACTGTTCTAGTTATTTGGTAGAAGTACCTTCAAGTTAAGTCTATGACTAAATTAAAACTTAAAAAAGTCATCACTACATACATTAAGTTATTTTAACAAATGTTAGAAAAATCCGCCATTGTTTTAAGTACAAAAAAATAATCTTTTTAAAACTGAATTACAAGCTGTTCTGTCTAAAGTGGGTCTCAAAATGAACTTAGCAAAAACTAAATTAATGTACAACGAACCAGTGGACAGAAAAGACATTCTAATGAATAACACAGAATTGAAAATAGTAGAAGAATACATATATTTGGGAAAACTAATACACAGCTCGGAATCTTTACTACCAGAAATCAACAAAAGAATTAAGTTCACATGGAGTACTTATGGAAGAAACTCAATCATATTCAAATCTAGAATGTCATTTTACCTAAAGAAGAAAACGTTCGACCAATGTATAAAGAAGAGACTGGATAAGTAAAAGGCCCAGGTAATAGGCAGGACACCTGGCAAGAAGAGCGGACAACAGATGGACTACAAAAATTACAGCAGTGTACCCACAAGGAATTAAGAGACCTAGAAGAAGATCGAACCTAAGATGGGACCATGATATTAGAAAACTGGCAGTGATAACTTGGGTCCGCATAGTCAGCAATAGACAACAATGGGCCCAACTACAAAGAGAGGATCTAAATATGTAAAGGAGGCTATACTATAATTGGAAATGGTTGAATAAGGCAAAAATAACAGGCTTTAGAAAAAAAGGATGTGAATATCTACAACTTTTATCCGAAGACTTTTTGTCTAAAATATGGAATTAGGAAGCATTTTTAAAATAAAAACTATTTCAAAACTTCTAAAGACGCATATGTTTGTCGTCACAAAACTGCAATTACTGTAGTCCAGTACTTTCCAAGATACCTATAGAGAACATCGTGGAAAACTCACCTAGTATAATTAAAAAATATTTCTACGTGATATTATAAAATAAGCTGACCTAAAAGCGTATATTTCTAAGCTGAAAAAATCTCTTATAACGCATAATGTAACCTGTATCCTTTAAATAGACCGTTTTCCATTAAGCGTCACATCTTTCTTTACCACAAATTAAAACATATAACAACAAAAAAGCTTTTATTCCATTAATATTTTATATACATGCTTTAAAACACGTAAACGCGTAACAGCTTTTGCATGTACAAGTAAAGAGCAAAAATGTAAAAACTATTTGCCGTTTTTAGTCTCATTCAAATTCAGCTTGGTAAAAATAGTTAAAATATAAAACATAAAATAATGATAAATCCATAAAATAAAGCTTTTCTTAATAAATTAAGCACATTTCTTATAAAAAAATCCACTTATTGTAACAGTGTTAGTCGAATACTACATTAATTCATAATACTGCTAGTTATGATTCACCTTTTATAATTTTTGTTCTAGGTATAAATATAACCATGCACCTTTAATATAAAAAAAACATATTTAATGATACTCGAGGGCGAATTTCCTTATCTCTATAACTCGAATATTTCTATAAATCAAACTGAAATAAGGCAACAAAGCTTAACTCAAACTTTTAGAAGAATGTTCTACAGTAGGTATTTAACCGGGTCCCAATGACGAGTTGCGGCAGATAAAAACTTGATAGTCCCTTTGTTTTGATTTTTAACTACTGCAGTAAAAGTGGTGAGATTTACAGTTGAGAATTAGAAACTTTGGTTAAAAACCACAATACATCAAAACACGTGTTTCTGTAACCATGTTGATATCATAAGCAGATGATTAAAACTAGACTAGACTCTTAGTTTTAATTATCTGCTATGATGCTAACATGGAAACGCGCATCTAGTGTTAAAATTAAATGTTTTTGGGTGTATTGTGGTGAATTAGTGATTTTATCTTGCTGATGAGATTTGACGACGATTTTTAATGCCGTGTAATTAAAGAAAGATTAAAATATCAAACCTACATATTAAATGTATACTCTGTTATGTTTGTAGTGTTTTTGTTCCCAATAAACCTTTAATTTGGCATCTTTTTCTGTAATTCGTTTTTTTTCGACCTTGCAAAAGCATAGAAGATACATGATATAAATAAACTGTAAAGCTAATACGTTAAAAATGGCATAAATCAACAGCCAATACGAAATATGCCTAATTAACTTTGAACAACCGAAAACCAAAATCAAATTGAAATTAAGTGAAATTCTCAAGAATATTAAATAAAACAATTTTAATTTCTGGATTTTATAAACATCAGTATGTGGCAAGAAACTATTTCTACAAATATTTACATACATAGAAGAGAAAAACTATTTTCGAATGGAAATCTAATAAGAGTACCTCAAAATGAAAAATATGTAACAATGGAAGCGGAATGCCGAGCTTGATTCAAGGCATTTGCGGAATTCCCACTCGTAGTTCCAGCCGCATCCAGCCAAGCACGTACTCGACGTGACGTGACAAAACGTCTAAATGCTGCTACCACTTTAATTACCGAACGCCATTTTATAGATGATTGGCATTATGAACATTACATTTGAGGATAACCGAACCAGCCGAAATGTCCGCAATACAAATAGACACTTATTCAGCAGAAAACAAATAGAACTAAGTTTCTTTCGTAATTCCTGTAATAAACGAACAGTTTTTAACTTGCATTTTAAGGCAAACACGGTTAACAAGACGGTTAACAGTTTAAAAATTAAAGTGGTTTGGTGTATATGTAAACTAGTGTTATTTTCTTGTAAGACGATATCCAAACCGTGGCTGGATACAAGGTTGTGGACCAGTTCAATTTAGAGATGGGTTGTTATTTATCGATCTGTTATGTTATAACACTTATTTAGAAATGAAATAACGTAACCGTTACTACTTCTAAAAAAATAACAGATATAAAATCGCAACCAAACCAAACCAAACGACACGTAGAGATCGACCGTTCGTGATACGAAATCGGCTCTCTGCAGCACCACGAAACTTTATGGGGCTCGAAGCAATTCCAAATAATAACTAGTATGAAAAATCGCAGTTATTTCGACAACCACCGATAACTGGCGGCGTTCGAGATACAGCACAGTGGAGTAGTAACGGCGTTTTTTCGGTACCGGTGGGCCACGGCAAACGCTGCTGCATCGGTCGATGGTTGATGTTTGGTCTCGCAACAGGTTAAAAAATAACGTATATAAAAAATAAGCAGTTATTTACAACGCACGACAGTCGAGATAAGCGGAATCGGGAAATAATAGCTTTTGCGCTTGTGTCAGTCGATCGCGGTGTATTAGGTACGTTATGCTCGAAACAGCATAAAAAAATAACTGTTATAAATAAGCTGTAGTAGTAACGATATACCGGATTGAGATAGAAATTAGCAGCTTTGTTTGTATTGGTGCAATAGCGAATGATGCTTTTTCCGAGGCAGGTTTGAAATGTGGTTCACAATAACTGTGCGGGTCGGGGTGATTGACATTTTTTGCTATAAGATTTTATGACGTTTTAATTCTTGGACACTGCATTAAATGTGTTTATTTGAATAATTATTAGAGAAATAGTAGAAAAAAAGTTAATTTTTAATTTTTAATATGTACCTGTATTTGCAAAAAAAATAACTAAAAGCGTTGAATGAAGAAATGAGAAGAGGCCCAATCTTATTGGCGATTTCATGGCACAAAACCTGTCCGAGATGTAGCTAGCGTTACCGTCAGCTCTTCCGAGAATTCCGAGATTTAGTTTTTTTAGTTTAGTTTACAGCGCATCATAGAGAATACTGTACCAAAGTTTACTGTACCGTAGCAAACCGTAGTTCTGCTTTCAGTCGACAGGGTGAGTGCTTGCCGGGGACAGTTTTGCCAGAACAACTGATTAATCCGTAGATTTACGAATTTTGCGTACAGTACATTAATAATACATATTTTCTATCAATAAAAAAATGTAATATAATATTCTATGATTAAGCAAAGAGCAGCAGGAAATGAAGATCGCTGTTATTTCATATATAAAATATTATGGTAAATGTCAATAATCGTCATTTCCAAGCCAACTAAACGACTTTTTTCGATCATACGACATATTCAGTACCTATAAGAGTTTTTATTTTTTTTATTCTCTTTTTTTAATGTTTAACACGAATAAATTCTCAATACATGAACGCAGACTTTTCATCCAAAATATTT